CCCCCCCACCCCCGCCGCCGTACGCCCCATCTTCTCTGTCACCCAAAGGCGTTCCTACGCCTTCTCCTCCGCCGAAGAAGCCGCGGCCGAGCGCCGGCGACGGAAGCGGCGTCTGCGCATCGAGCCTCCCCTGAACGCGATTCGCCCTCCGCCGCAGCAGGGCCCTCCTCGCGACCCGAACGCGCCTCGGCTCCCGGACTCGACCTCGGCGCTGGTGGGCCCCCGGCTGAGCCTCCACAACCGCGTGCAGTCCCTCATCCGCGCCGGCGACCTGGAGGCGGCGTCCGCCATCGCCCGGCACTCGGTGTTCTCCGTTACGCGGCCCACCGTGTTCACCTGCAACGCCATCATCGCCGCCATGTACCGGTCGAAGCGCTACGATGAGGCCATTGCCCTCTTCCACTTCTTCTTCAAGCAGTCGAACATCGTCCCCAACATCGTCTCTTACAACAACGTCATCAACACCCACTGCGACCAGGGCCGCGTCGACGTGGCACTCGATGTCTATCGCCACGTCCTCGCCAACTCTCCTTTCAGCCCCTCCCCCGTCACTTACCGCCATCTCACCAAGGGTTTGATCCAACAATCTCGCATTTCCGAAGCCCTCGACCTCTTGCGCGAGATGCTCACTAAGGGTCACGGTGCCGATTCCCTCGTCTACAACAATCTTATTTCAGGCTTTCTCCTATTGGAGAATTTGGACAAGGCTAACGAGCTCTTCGACGAGCTTAAGGAGCGTTGTCTCGTCTATGATGGGGTTGTTAATGCCACTTTTATGGAATGGTTCTTCAGTCAGGGCAGGGATAAGGAGGCCATGGAGTCTTACAAGTCTTTGTTAGAGCGCCAGTTTAGGATGACTCCTGCCACTTGTAATGTGTTGTTGGAGGTTTTGCTCAAGCATGCCAAGAAAACTGAGGCTTGGGCTTTGTTTGATCACATGTTGGATAATCACACCCCTCCCAATTTCCAGGCTGTTAACTCTGATACCTTCAATATTATGGTCAATGAGTGCTTTAAGCTTGGGAACTTTGAGGAGGCCCTTGCAACTTTTAAGAAGGTTGGAACTAAGCCCAATTCTAAGCCCTTTGCCATGGATGTTGCCGGCTATAACAATATCATTGCTAGGTTTTGTGAGAATGGGATGCTGTCCCAGGCTGAGACGTTGTTTGAAGAACTGTGTTCTAAATCTTTGAGCCCCGATGTGCCTACTCACAGGACTTTGATTGAAGCCTACTTGAGAATGGAGAGGATTGATGATGCTCTCAGGGTGTTCAACAGAATGGTGGATGCTGGTCTCAGGGTTGTTGCTAGCTTTGGTAATACGGTGTTTGATGAATTGATTAAGAATGGGAAAGCTATTGACTGTGCTCAAATTTTGAGTAAAATGGGAGAAAAAGATCCTAAACCAGACCCCACTTGCTATGAGGTTGTAATCAAGGGACTCTGTGCTGAGGGCTTGTTGGACAAAAGCCGAGAGTTGCTCGATGAGGTTATGAGGTATGGAGTTGGAGTCACTTCTGCCTTGCGGGACTTTGTGACTGATGTTTTTAAGAGAGCCGGGAGGGGTGATGAAATTGAGAGGCTGCTAGATATGAACAGATTTGCATACACTCCTCGTACATCCCCACGGAGGCCTGCTTACCGTCCTCCACCGGTGAGGTCCCCTTCTCAAATGACAGGGGCAGCACATAACCCACATTCTGGCTTTCCCACCACTCAAATTGCAGCTCAGCAGCACCCACCACTGCCTTCTCAAATGGCTGGACCAGCAGATAATCCACCTTCTGGGTTTCCAACACAAATGGCAGCACAGCTGCGCCCACCACCGCCTTCACCTCGTATGACAGGAGCACATTATCCACCTTCTGGGTCTCAGGCTCAAACGGCAACACAGCAGCGCCCATCACCGCCTTATCAAATGGCAGGAGCAACACATAACTCACCTTCTGGGCCTCCACATCAAGGGTGGGAGCATCAACGCCCGCCACTGCCTTCTCAAATGACAGGAATGCATCAACCTTCGTGGGGATTATCTCCTACAATGACTGGATCTTCACCTCATATGACAGGACAGCCTTTCCACCCTACTACATCTGAACGTCCTCCTCACACAAACAGGGTAGCCCCGCAAATGACAGCACAGCATTATAATCCACCTGGACCTTCACCTCAAATGGCAGGACATCAACCTTATGGGACACCACATTGGCCCCAACAAACGTTAGAACGACCATATCCACCATCAGAATTGTTTCCTTCAACAGCAAGACAACATCATCCAATGGCAGGGTCGTCTGTTCCTTCATATGGAGCATCAGGTGGAATGTCACCGTCAAATCCTATAGCCCCAGGAGCATCTTCTCAGGTGACTGGATCATATCACCCGTCATCAGGAACCCCTCCTCACTTTGAGGAATCACATCAACAGCAATCAGAAGTCCCTGAACAGGTAGCAGCTTAATTTTTGGACTTCAAGTCAATTCTTAGTGCTACTGGTTCTTGTGAAGCTGAGTTCTGCTGTTAGGAATCACTAGGTATTTTTGTGAGCTTATTTATGATGATAAAAGAATATACATTGACTTATTATCCATAACATGTAATGCGTGTCTTATATGACGTGTCATTTTAATTTATTCGTATAATTCAACCTTTAATATCAGGCATGGAGATTTATATTTTGTACTTCTGTTGATATCCCTCCACATTTTACCTGAAAGAAATGTTAAGCATTTTGCCTTTTAAGAGCCTATAAATAATGACAATTTTCTTCACAAGCTCATCAATAATGATTTTGATACTTGATATCACTATTTGCGAGTCTAGGACTGTGCACGGTTCTCTTTTTTTGAAAAAAAAAACTGAACCTTAAATGTTTTATAAGAGTGGTTTGATTAATAGAATTGTATTTTACAAAGTGGGTTGGTTTAGTTTTTTTTTTCCTTCAAAAAAGTTGGGTTTTTTTTCTCCAGTTTGGTTCGGTTTTTTGGTACATCTCTTATTTTGTCCTTTTCTCAATAGACCTTATCTTTCGCTAGTATTTAGAATTTAGATAAAATTGAACTGGATATTACTGTAGATAGAAATTTCCTTTCTCGATGGAACTATGAATTTGTAAGGCTCCAAAACTCACTGTAAATATAGCTTTGTCGCGGATAGCACAAGGCCATGGATGTGTATGTGTGGCAGATTCATACATATGATGTATACGGATATAATATTGGATATTTATCAAAAAGTTAAAATTGCACTTAAAATGAATGAATATTGCTTTGCCTCTGAACTTGTTTGTAGCCCTCTATTTGATCTCATTAGCATTTTAATTTTTATAATTCTTGGCTGTTTGGAAGACCTAGCGCAATCCAAGTTCAAGCATTTGGTTTTGCCTATGGTACAATGTATGATAATTGTCAATCTCCTGCCAGCTGCCGCACTTGAGGAAGTGAAAATATAGTCCATTTTATCTAATATCTACCTCATGAGATTTAGTTGGTAGTTGGGTAACGCGGAACCATTTGATCTAGAAAACCCAAAAGAGGAAAGCTGGACAGAAAAATGAAATAGTAACTATCAATACAGCGGCAAGCCTTATTACATGTGAAATCATATTACATGATATTTTGCAAAATTTTAGCAATGAAATTCCACATTTAACAACACATATCCATACAACGCAACGAAGGATTTAATAGTTGGACCAACAAAAATTATAAATTTATAATTAATTAAATTACAATTATAACGTACTTCATTGGCCTTGTTTAATTTTAACTATCTTTATTCATTCAATTTATATTTATTTAAATTTATTAAACGAAAATGATCAAATACTTAAAAAAAATGTTTAGGCCTAAATATTGGCTCAAACCGATTAAACCTAGCCGTCAAAACCCACACCAATATCATCTGATCCGTTCAAGTCGAAATTACATTCAAGCAAATTTGATCAAATATTAAATAGTACATGTTCTTAAGGATTGAGGATTTTAGATCTAAAGCCCCCTGATGCCTATCATTGCTCATCGCCGAATATACAGATTGAGGTATATTTCTATTGATGATTAAAGGCTGGTCATCGCCGAGTGTCCTATCATTGCTCAGGTCTCACGAAATACTTAGCTGTTCATGCAGCCAAGAGTAGCGACTAGGTGCAAAACTAACAGAATATATCATTTCTTGCCTTTCATCTTTTCTGGTTCATTACATAGATTTTTTATATGTACGAAGAAGTGTCAAGGAGAAGAAAATAAAATGAATAAAGGGGATAAAAAAAAAATCAAAATTGTTATAAAAGTAAATTAGCTTGCATCACAATGTTTTCAAAAGCTCCCTTATCCAACTTCTCGATAGCCTTATAAACTTAATTAGTTAGACATTCTTGCCTTAAGATATAGCCCCAAGAGTATAAATTTACAATTAAAAAAAACTCATGAACTAAACGCTATTCCAAACTAGACCTAGATCATGAATGTTTTGTAGTCAAATGACGAAAAAACAATTATGACAATCTTATTATTGCACAGTCTCATGTTGGAGAACTCAATTTATTTGAGGTCACTTACTCTAGGCCATAGCTGTACTGTACACTGTCTGTACTGAAAGCTGAAGATTTGGGGGGTTGTGTCTTCCGCCAATGTGAACCACAAGGAATTTGAGACTCCGTAGACAAAGTTTCTGTATTGATGGATTCCTTCTTCTTCGAAGGAATAAAATGCAGTTTTTGCAACAATATGCTATTCTCTAGCAGAGAACACAAAATTTTCTAACAACACCTGTACAGCTATTACAATGCAAAATGAATTTGTACTAGCAAAATCTAGAGAGCCAAAAAATAAGTTAAGTAGCTGGTCTCTTGTACACTAAAAAATAGTTCAATAGTTCATGACTTGTGAAGAAAGGTTAAGCAAGGGCTCGAGTGCACTCGGATGAAACTTGCGAGCAAAGAGGAAACAAATGGACGTCATCTCTGAATTATATCGACAAAGGGATACATTGTTCCTTATAGCCTGTATAAAATCCACAGTTATATTGTCTCTCCCATAGGTTGCTGGATGAGGACCGAGCATTGACCAGTCAACCCATGTGACTGTTCTGTTTGAATTAAGCGAACCATGAAACATGTTGAGGAAGGTTGGAATGTAATGTTCATCTGGGTAGCAAGCAGGCTTACAATATTTACGGAAGAGGGAATAATAGTGGGTGTCAGAGATTATATAAACAGCCAGAGCACGGTTTAGTTCAAACCACTGAGAGCCCTTACGCCAGTGTTTAAGTTGAATATGAGGAAGCATATTGCGGCTGTAGCGGCCACGGCCATAACGGGTAGGGTCATCGTACGATTCAACAAAGCTGTGGGCAGAATCAGTGAGATATCTGTAAACAGTAGGGAAGTTGTAGACAGGGATGCAGCTCTCTGAAAGGAGAACAAAGCGCTCATTTGAAAAGTCGAGCAATGCATTGGCTAAAAGGCGCCTCTCAGCATCTGCGAGTGTAACTGTCCCCCATGAGACATCCTGAAAAAGAATTTGGTAAGCACATGAGATGCGAATTGAATTGGGTTCTAGACCTAGTTTCCTTAAAAGTTATAAAGAAGGAAATGCAACCTGACTAGGGATGTGGCGAGCGTAGAAAGGGGAAGAAGGGGAAACGTTGAGATGGTAACGGGGAGGGGCATGGATGTAAATGTTGAAGAGGTGAGAGTGACCGTGGAAGAATCTCTCCCAGAGGGGCAACAGGGGAAGGGGACCCCGGGTGAGAAACATGAAGGCCACCTTGGGGGTTCTCCTGAAGGGGTAGCCCTGTTTCTTCGGCATCAAGGAAGCCCTCCAGAAGAGCTCCTCGTCGGAGAGGGTGTGCGTCAGGTTCAGGGGATGAAGGAAGGCGCTCATGTCCAGAGGGGGAGGAGGAGGTGCCGGTGCGGGTGCCGTTGCCGTTGCCGGGGTGCACTTGCTATTGCCAACATTGCTGACCGATATGTACTCATATGGCTGCGATATGAAATGGGTTTTTATGTGAGAGCTTGTTGTGAGTCCGATCACCACTCCTCCCGCAAACACCACCAAATATGTTAAGATTTGGGCCAATCTCAGCAACCCCACGTGCTTCTCTCCTCCTCCCCCCTCCTCTCTCTGATTCCGACCCATCCTCTCTCTTTCCAATTCTACAGATCAATTTCTCACTCCACCATCAACACCTTCTCCGATCCAATTATTGCACACTCTTCCTTGTTCCCTTTCATCTATTCTATTTCTATTTCTATTTCTATTTCTACCCCTCCCTCTCCCTCTCCCTCTATTCTATTTCAATACGCCTCTAACTTATTTTAGGGTTTTTTTTCTTTTTCATCCCACATTCATCAATATTTTCCTATTAAATACTATACCATCCTTTTTAATATTTTTTTTATCTACCAAATTAATATAATCATATTTTACAATACAATAAATAATATTATCAAACTTCTTAACGTTTAATAACATTTCAATTAAGGATTGTTGGTTCTGTTTTCTAATTATAATTCTACTTTTATTTAAAAATAATGTATTCGTTTCTTATACAAACCGCTCTAATATATATATTTATACATATTATTGAACTCAAATTTTTATTTTAATTAAAAAATAGTACCAAAAATATATATAATATTAATTCATATTCTTGTTTATTTTTAAGACCCAAGTGTAGTAAGAACCATATTTATTTATCCCATTCCCTGGCTGGTGTTTTTTTCTCCTTTTGCGGCGTGTACATGTGTGTTAGTGTTACCTGTGTGTCCCCTTTCTTGTATTTGTATAGTTCGTTTTCTCTTTTCTGTATCTTTGGCCTGAGACCTAATTAAAATCTAAAAAAGAAAATTAAATGGTTATAGTGTATCTAGTGTATTAACCACAAACAATACAATTAATTATTTCAATTTAATGTCAATCTGTGTCTTATTCTTAAATGTCCCTTTCACTCGCTAATGTTCCTAATCCAGATCATGTTTTGTAATGACTCCTTTTCATTATTTGACGTTATCGAAAATACAATAATTATTTCATTCGTGGAATTCGAACGTCCAATTTCTTAGTCTTCGCACACAATGAACAAAAAGGTTGAATTGTGCGGCTCATGTGATTCTTGAGTAGAAGCCCAAGACTGTAATGTGCATTTTACCTCTATACGTCATAATTATGTAAAAAAAATTACTTAATTATTTTATTCACATATTTTTTCATCTAAATCTTAGACATAAATGTGCATTTTGACTATAAATGAAATGGTATTCCAAATTTTTTACTCATCTCCTAATTCTATCTTCAAATAATCTCTTTTTAAGTCTAATACTATCTCTAAAAAAATTTATGTGTAGATTTATTTTTAAGGTCCTACTTCATCCTGTTATATTAATTATGTTTGTTGGGATAAATCCTCTTTTCTTTGGATTAATTTTAATATCAATAACTTTGTAAAAAAAAAAATCTTGAAGAGTTTCTTACATTGATTTTCTTGGGACAACCTTGAAAATTAGGAGCATGAGTTTGTGTAGTGTAATCCCTTTCTAGATTATAAATATTGATCGTATTTAATTATTTAGGTTAATAATTTTTATATTATTATGAATAGGAAAGATATTAAAATAAACAAATAAATTTTCTAAGTAAAGTTCTATTATATAATAGTTCTATTATAAAAGTTATAAATTTTTAAATATTACAAAATATTTCTTTTTATACACATCATAACTTATCGAAATAACTCCCATCTTAAACTTTAGATTTTACATTTGACTTCTAACTTTGATTCCTATTTTTCTATATCAAGAAATCTCTTAGCATTTGAATTTCAAGTATTTATGGGGTCACATTTAATTTCATCAATGTCAAACAAACAAATCGTACAACCACTTAGATAAATTTATGCAAATTATTAATAAACATACTACAAGATTATTATTCATCAATACTAACATTTTAAAATATGCGGTATGTTTATGAAATGCAAGTTTTGACTCAAAATATTTTTTATAAAATCATTTTGACTTGGCATTTCGTGGAGATTTTCTCTTTAAAGTGTTTAGTGAAACTTATTAACAAACACACAACAAGATTAATAATTCATCAATGCTACCAATTTAAAATATGTAGTATGCTTATGAAATGCAGGTTTTAACTCAAAATATTTTTTGTCTAAAAACTTTATGGAGATTTTCTCTCCTGAGTGTTTAATGAAGGCAAAGTTTAACATTACATTGTCCAATGATTCAGTAATGAACCACTAAAAGCGAACAAGTAGACAATAGTAAAAACGTCGATGCACTTGACAAATGACTACAACATTGACTATTTTGTGGGGTTATCTATGTTAAAACACTCATCAGACCAAAGGTCTATATACCCTTAACGAAATATCTTATCTTATCCATTCTACTTAATCTCATTTACAATCAATGACATTGATAATTTAAATATCAATTTCATAATAGACATTCTTTCTTTTTTGGTTTTCTTCATCATTGTCATTATCACATCGCTATCATTGTCATATCAAATTACCAAATGCCTTTGATAGTAAATTTAAATAATAAAACTAATATATATATATATATATATATATATATATATATATATTATCAAAAACCTTATTTCTCATTTCTTTTACTATCAGCTATTCTTGATAGTAAAATAAAAACATTTTCAAACTTCTTCACAAAAATCTTTTATTTTTTCTGCAAAATTATTTTGACTCAAAAATCATATTATGCATCATGTCCATGTAATATATGTCATATGCATTTATAACAATTCATCATTTAAGTTATAAATAAAATCAAATAAATTCATGCAACTTTATACACATTTAGTAAATTAAATATTTTCTTTTTATTTTCAATTAATCAATATATTAAAACCTTTTTTTCTAATTTATTTCTTAATATACTTTTAATATTATCCCAAAATTTTAATTAAACCTATGATTATTTTCTAATATTTCAACTTTACCTTTGGTTTTAATTACTATTTCTAGTATTACCCTTGATTATTTTCTAATATTTCATTTATGTCCTTGATCATTTCCTACCATTTTATGACTCTCTTTAGTTATTTTTTCGTATTCTAATTATGTTCCTAACTAGTTTATAATATTTTAGTTTTATCCTTAAATTTTTCTTAAATTTCCAATTTTGCCACTACTTATTTTCAAAATATCCAATTGTACCCTTGAACATTTCTATTATTCCATTTGTGTTCATAATTCATTATTAAAATTACTATTATACCCTTAATCTTTTCCAAAAATTTCATTTATGTCCCTAGCATGTGAAATGATCATTTTGTCCTTGAACTTTTTGGAAAATTTTCATTATATCTCTTTCTTCAATCTCGGGCTGCATCTTCCCCCCATTATAATCGACATTCATTTTTTAATTTTTCAACATCAAACAATCTAATTTAAACACAATTATCATCAAACAAATAAGAAACACATCAAATTTACTTAAGAAGTAACAATTACATCATATAATCCAACTTTAATTCAAGTCTTTTAACTTAAGGTTTGAAACATCCAACATGCAAATAATGATCAAAACTTATTCTACAACTATCCTAAACATAAAAATATCAATAAAATTAAACATTTAACCCCTACCTATTTCTCCAAAATTTTGTTAGTTTTCTTTTACTTTTCTCTTAACTTTCTTTTCTCACTTCTTATTCTTCTTCTTCTTCTTTTTCTTGTCTCATTCTCTTCTCTCCTTCTTTTATTCTTTTACTCTATGGTTTCCTCTTTTTCCCTCTCTTTTGGCCGTGAGTTTTTGTGGTGGGGTTGGATGAGCTTTTGTTTTATTTAGGTGTAGGTATTTCGTGAAGGTTTTCATTCAATTTTTTCCATTTATTTCCACCGACCTTGTTACTTCCATCGAATGTTAAGTCAAAATTTTTGACTCACTTTGTGATTGAGAATCCAGTCAAATAACCTATAAATGCGTGTCCCAATGTTACTTTTCCAAGAATGCACCATTCTTGTAGTATTTTATGGGATTTTTTAAGATTTTTCTAGAAACCCTTTCAATTTCTCACATTCTAAATAGGATAAGCAGAAACTAATTTCACCATTAAATTTCTCAGAAGTATCTCTTAATTAATTATTTAAAAATTGTTTTACTTGTCACAATTTGATTTATTGAAAATTATACTTAACTTTTTTTTAGTTAGACAATTTAATTATGTTCCGGCCAAATGGTGGATTAGGATTTTTTCCTAGATCGTGCCTTAGAGCCAGAGCATTCAAAAGTGTAATCTGTCTTCTCAACTCTAGGGTTTTGGGTTTTATAGTTTATTGTTCACGGGCCTTATGGGCCCCGAGAATATAGGGATCTTTTTAGCCGTTCCAATCTAGAAAATACTTGGTGAGTGAAGGTGGGACCTCGCCATTACTGAGTGTCCAATCGGATAATGACCGAGTAAGCCTTTATGGGTGGGAGTCAATCGGTATCTGGCTCTGAGAGGGTGAGTCGGCCAAGGTTACAGTCGGGTGAGTCGGCCAAGGTTACAGTCGGGTGAGTCGGTCAAGGTTACAGTCGGGTGAGTCGGCCAAGATTACAGTCGGGTGAGTCGGTCAAGATTACAGTCGGGTGAGTCGGCCAAGGTTACAGTCGGGTGATCACAGGAGGGGAGATCAGGTCGTGAAATGGCCTGGGCAGTGCACGGGTTTATAGTCGGCCTCACACATGTAAGAGATACCAATCGGCCAACGACCGAGACGGTCCACTTGCCTTCCAGCCTTGAGCCTATAAGGCGAAAAGGCTTAAGGTGTAGTTCTTATGGTCCGAGATACCAATCGGCCTACGACCGAGACGGTCCACTTGCCTTCCAGCCTTGAGCCTATAGGGCGAAAAGGCTTAAGGTGTAGTCTTTGGGCTAAAATGAATCGTCAAAATTCCGGCCAAAATGACCAAGTTATAAACTATCCAGTACTGTATATTTTTCCTTTCCTATTAACTATGCAAGTTTTAGTCAAAACATATCATATTTTTGAAAAATGAATGAAAAACTTCTAAGCTAAAGCATCATGAAAATGAAAACAAGAGAAATAGATTCATCTCGTTCGAACTCCGATTCTTAGGAAAGTAAAGTTTTAAGAATAGTTTGGAGAAGTACTGAGGCGCCGACTTTCCGGTGCATAAGGCGACAAAAAGTAATAAGTTAAAAAAGATTAAATTTTAAGAGTCATTAACTTGTCCAAATACCGATTGACGTAACTATAAAAATATACTAAGTTAAAAAGGAATCTATTTTGAGCAGAAACCAAAAGAAGTTGGTCAAATTCCGATCCCAGCAGTGAATGAAGCAATATTTTAAGACTTGAAGTTACGAACGAGGTGTAGTCGGCCGAATTCCTATCTTTAATGATGAGTAAAAATATTTCTAAGTTAAAACGTAAAGCTTTGAACCAACAAGAAGTCGCCTATGTGCCGATTTCACATAATCAGTGAAATATGCTAAGTTAAAAACTCCACAGCCTTAAGCAATATGATCGCCCAAATGCCGATCTCACCTTGGAAGAATAATTAGGTTGAAGATTTATGTTCGGCTAGAGTTGTCAGCTGAATGCCGATTCAAATAAACGCCAGTTTAATGAATTTAAAACGTTTGACACAGAGATCGGCTAAATGCCGATCTCGACTCTGACGCTGAATGTTCGAAAACTTCATCGTCAAAAATCTGATCCAGTAATTGAAGTGATGTGAAAGGGAAAATATTATCCTTTTTTCAATTAAATTGGGTTCGGTCTTCGAGTTATTTATACTCGCCCAGTCGGACTTTTGCCGACAATCACGAGTTTGTCTTCGAGTTATTTATACTCGCCCAGTTGGACTTTTGCTGACAATCACGAGTTTGGTCTTCGAGTTATTTATACTCGCCCAGCCGGACTTTTGCCGACAATCACGAGTTTGGTCTTCGAGTTATTTATACTCGCCCAGCCGGACTTTTGCTGACAATCACGAGTTTGGTCTTCGAGTTATTTATACTCGTCCAGCTGGACTTTTGCCGACAATCACGAGTTTGGTCTTCGAGTTATTTATACTTGCCCAGCCGGACTTTTGCCGACAATCACGAGTTTCTTCTTCGAGTTATTTATACTCGCCCAGCCGGACTTTTGCCGACAATCACGAGTTTGTTCTTCGAGTTATTTATACTCGCCCAGTCAGATTTTTCCCGACAATCACGAGTTTTGCTGCCTTTAAATAACACACATGTCGATCATGGAAAGATAAAAGAGATGGTATTTAATAAAATTGGAATTATTGGTTAGTGGTGCCTCGTTAAAAAACCTTCTTAGCAAAAAACCTTTTCACATTTTTATATGGAATAAAAATCTCTTGGGACGACCCCAGCTTCTCGGCTTTCAGCTGCCCTTTTTGTTGATTTGTCCCTCCTCCGTCTTGATGTGACTCAGGGTGAAAGCTCTCACCTCCGATATCGTTTGACAATTCGCTTTCTCCAACGCGATGTTGAAAGCTCCAGACCTTAAGCCCTTCTAGAACGCGATGACTGCCATCCTTTCATCCAAGGACGTTATCCTCAAGGCGACCTCATTGAACCTTTGCAGAAAGTCCTTCGACGACTCCTCTTGCTACTGTTGAGATCGAACAAGTCCGACGTGATCGGTGGTTTCTTCCTGTTAGCGACGAACTATGCCATGAAGTGCCAACTAAAGACATTAAAGTCGGTGATTGATCGGTCAGGGATACCACTAAACCAATCCAGTGCTGTTTTTTTGAGTGTACGCATGAATGGTTTGCAGCGAACTTCCATACTTCCTCCACAAATCAACATTTGAGCGCGGAAATCTGTCAAGTGCTGACTGGGATCCTGAGTTCCATCAAAATGTTCGACTTGGGGAATCCGATGATCCCTCGGGATGGTCTCGGCCTCTATGGCCTCCGAAAAAGGTCGAAAATCCCTGGGGACTTCCATCATGACATTTTCTTCCACCGTTCTGGCGTTGGCCGTTATCATAGCTCGCATCTCGTTCGCCCGCCTCCTAATCTCCTCGTTTTCTCGTTGAATAGCCTCCTCTCTCTCCCTGGATCGTGCATTTTCCTCCCTCAAACCGTTGATCAATGCCATCATCTCCTCCATGGTAGGGTGTTGTGAGTCGCTGTTGGATGTACCGCCTCTCGCCATGGTAAAGTGAGGGTTCTTCTGTGTTATTTGGGGCGTAGGAAAAGTTTCACCGCAGCCCCACGGTGGGCGCCAAAATTTTTCGGCCAAAGGGTGGACTAGGGTTTTTTCCTAGATCGTGCCTTAGAGCCAGAGCATTCAAAAGTGTAATCTGTCTTCTCAACTCTAGGGTTTTGGGTTTTATAGTTTCTTGTTCACGGACCTTATGGGCCCCGAGAATATAGGGATCTCTTTAGCCGTTCCAACCTGGAAAATACTTGGTGAGTGAAGGTGGGACCTCGCCATTACTGAGTATCCAATCGGATAATGACCGAGTAAGCCTTTATGGGTGGGAGTCAATCGATATCTGGCTTTGAGAGGGTGAGTCGGCCAAGGTTACAGTCGGGTGAGTCGGCCAAGGTTACAGTCGGGTGAGTCGGCCAAGATTACAGTCGGGTGAGTCGGTCAAGGTTACAGTCGGGTGAGTCGGCCAAGATTACAGTCGGGTGAGTCGGCCAAGGTTACAGTCGGGTGATCACAGGAGGGGAGATCAGGTCGTGAATTGGCCTGGGCAGTGCACGGGTTTATAGTCGGCCTCACACATGTAAGAAATACCAATCGACAAACGACCGAGACGGTCCAAATTATTTATCCTAAATATATTACAATGAAGATAAAATCCTATTTTTTATATCGAACATTTTTCTAACTTAATATTTTATTAAAATAAGTTTTCTAAGGATGACATCCTACTCTTGATCGTGGTATATTAAAGTTCCCGAGGTTAAGAAGTTGCTTTATTTTCGTCGCTTATGCAAACGCAAGCCTCAATATATTTTCGTTTATATCTTTTAAAAATGAGAAATGTCGTGTTAACTTATTGCCTGTGTTAAAATAACATCTATATCTATATTATCGTATATGTAACGTTAAAATGATGAATATGTTATAAAATTAGGGGTGCGTAAAAAATCTAAATTGATCCGAACTGATCCATAACTGATCCATAACTGATTTGATCTATTTTAAAAAATCTGATTCATTTTGAAAAAAAATCTGAATCGAACCACTTTATAAAACCAGTTCAGTTATCCGATCCATTTTTACAAAGTGGATCGGTTTGGTTTTTTAAAAAAACCGATCCATATGTGAGTAAAAACTAGATAATTGCACTGTACCGAACCGGTCCATTTTCAAAAAAATCAATCCATATTTTAAAAAAATCAAACTGATCCACTTTATAAAAAATGGATCGGTTAACCGATTCGCTTTTATAAAACGGTTCAGTTTAGTTCGGTGCAGATTTTTCAAAAAACCGATCCATGAACACCCCTGTACATTTGAATATAAAACACATTTTTTTAAAATAAGCACTGATGCTCAAATAAGTAACTGGTGTTTGTTTTGAAATTTTTAATGCACACTCCAACACAAATTCTTATTAAGAACTGTTCTTAACAAGAAAGTATCACTGTGCAGATGGTCTAAACATTAAACCGGGGTGGTACATTAAACATCAGAAATCATTTATTAAACACATACAAATAGTCATATAAACAGGGATGGTACATTACACATCCAAATAATTCATTAATCATCTGTTTGGATCAAGAGTGAAATAAAAAAAAAAATGGAAAGGATAAGAATAGAAAAAAAGAGAGAATAAAAAGATGTGTTATTTAGATGAATAGAAATAATTAATTAAAATATATTAATTTTAAAATTTAGAGAATAAAAATTTATCTCCTATAATAAAATATATTAATTTTTTAGTCCATTGTTATATTTTTCTTACCGTAAAATATTTAGAATATTTAAAATTGTTGTTATAAAAAACAATTAATTTGTTTAAGAAATAAAAAAAAGAAGAATATTTGTTTGTTATTTCATGTGAATTTACAATTTAGGGTGGGGGTGAGGGGTGATGGGCCGTGGAACAGAAAGGCCAGGAGAATGATAAAAATGTTGTGGGGAGGGACGGAGGAGAAGAGCAACAGAAAAATGGAAGAGGGTAAGAGTCGAAAGGAGAAGAGGAAGGCAATGAAGAAAATGAAACGGAAGCAGACAAGGAGGGAGGCGGCGGAGAGGGAGAGGCGGGAGGAAGAGGAGCGGCTGAAGGATCCCGAGGAGCAGAGGCTGATGCAGTTGGCGGAGCAGCAGGAGGTGGAGAGAATGCAGAGGGAAAGGATCCTGTTCGAGGAGAGAGAGAGGGCTTGGATGGAGAGGATCATCCAAAAACAAGATGACCTGGAGGAGAAGGAGAAGGAGAAGGAGGACCAAGACGAAGACGAATATCAATACGTCCAGGACGAAGGCCCTCCGGAGATTATCTGGCAAGGAAACGAGATCATCTTCAAGAAGAAACAGCTCAGAGTTAGGGTTGCGGACAAGAATGAAAACCACCAGGTAATCTTTATGTCTATGCCTATGCCACTTCAACTCCATGCTCCATTCCTAATCGAATCGCTCGCAGGACAAGAATAATAGACCTGTATCAAATCCCTTACCCCCGGAATCGGAATCGCAATCGCAATCGCAATCGGAGTCACACACTCACATGCTCCAGGATGTTGCTCAACATATACCCAATTTCGGAACTGAGCAGGTTTCATTTTCTTCTCTTTTCATCTTCTCACTTTCCAATTCACTCACTCACGCTCATGCTTCTGCTTTGCATACCAGGATAAAGCTCATTGCCCTTTTCATCTTAAAACCGGAGCATGTCGTTTTGGTCTACGCTGCAGCAGAGTCCATTTTTACCCTGATAAGTCATCCACCCTCCTTATCAAAAACATGTACAACGGTCCTGGCCTTGCATGCGACCGGGACCAAGATGAGGGCCTTGAGGTCTGTTTATTGTATCCTCCTCCTTTACTACATCAATGCTCATCTTTCTTAACAATTGCGGAAAGTGGCGGAAAGCCAAAAATATTCTATATCATATAGCGGATAGCTAAAGTTGCATTGCATTTTAAATAAAATGTAATATACACATATATAAATGTTTATTTGCAAATAGACTTAGTTGGGGACTCTGCAGATGACTAGAGGATGTAGGATACATGCTACAAACATGACACCATAGCGGCTGCTATAGCGGGCAGAGTCATGATCGCTGATTCAAGGAATTTCGCAATGCAATATTGTTATAGTGATTGCCATTTAACAACGCTGCACCCTAACAACCCTTTTACATCTTTAATCTATGTCTCGCGCTTCAATTACTAATATAATTCTAAAACCAAATCCAATTCAAAATTTCCTATTCTGTCTGTGGATCGTCTTCAACATTTAAATTCATTTTTCTTTGTCTGTCAAGGAACCGTATTCAATTCAATTCTATGACTTAATAATTATCAGATATTCATTGCAAGACTCATTTGGCTGGAGGCTTATCATTTGGGCCTTGGTTGGTCAAAGTTAAAGATATTGGCTGTTGTATCCTACTTGCTTAGCCTGGGAATAAGCTTTTTATATTGATATTGATCCCCTCCCCCCTTGTTAACACTTACTCCATTTCATTTACTTTGCTTCATTTGACTTTTATTCCCCCGCCCCCTCCTCTTGTGTATTTTTATTTACTGAGTCCTTCACTGGCAATACCATTCACATCATACTTCTATGACATGATGTTTCAATTAAAATTATGTTATCATAACATTTTTAAAATAGATTCAATAGTTATACTGAATATAAAACTTTTTTTTCCAAATTTTTGTTACAATTTCCAAAATCTCCTGCTCTAATAACATGTTCTTGCTCCTTAACCATAAGTAGTTATCAGGCGTTATCCAAGTCTTGGCCTATGGAGCAATGTTGCAGACTAATGGTCATGACATTCAAAGGGTTTGAGATTGCAGCAGCAAGACCTTAAAAATGTTTATGCAGTTAGTGACTCTTAAATACTTTGCTATTGTGATTTTTTTTTTTAATCTTTTTTCCTGCAGGAGGAAAAGAGGTTTTTACACAAATGTTTTTTGGTCATGCTTGAGTATATTTATATTTATAAAACCTCTCTGAAGTCTCTATTGCAAGTCATGCTTTGCATTCTATTTCATATTTTTTTGGTTCTTGTGTAATTAGATGGAAGCATTAAAGATTTTGAATTAGAAGAAGTGCATCTCATATAGCACTTCATATTTGAAGGCACTTGCCTTATATATATCATTATGAACTATAAAATGTATTAGTTTTCATCAAATGATACTATTTCATATACAACTTAAGTATAACTTTAAAAATTACTACAAAATTTAACAGTATATAACTGACACGTTTTTGGTTAAAATGACATTAAAAAACCAATATATTGGTAAATGCAATGATGCACCATCAGATTATTTATCATTCCTTATCTGGTTTTGAAGCTGGTTAGCAAAGCTTCAACTATATCTTGGAGCACTGGGTAGTTAACTGTTTTAGGGGAGTACTTCTATAAGTCATTTGGAATGGTTGCATCAATACCATCCCAGAGGAACAGCTACGTGTCTCTTTAGATGAAACAGGATCTCTTCTATGTTCTGCCTGCCAAAACTTTGTATAAAGTTGTTGCTTTCACTGTCATCCAATGAGGGTGCAATTTATTTGTTTTTTTGCAATGTTATTTCTTCTTTTGAATTTCAATGTTATACTTTTTCCCATGCATACGCCAAAAATTGTAGCAGCTTTTTGATCCCTTATACACTATACAGAAAGCTGAAACTGGCATCTATTTCTTTAATTCCCTTCACATTTTTTTCATTTTTTTTTTTTGGGGGGGGGGGGGGGGGG